CCCTTCACTTAGAGAAAATGTCCTTTTGTCTACATGGAAGTTATTGGTTGAGCTGCTTGGTTGTCTCTAGTGGGACAAGGTTTGGGTGGTTCAGAGAGAGTAGTGGGAATTTGAAAATGAACTCTGGAACCCTTTTGAATATATAAAAAAATCCCACACGAATTGCTCAAACATGGCCAATTCTCATTTATTAGAGCATTTTTGTTCCCTGGACAGCTGCACTGCTCTTTTGGTGTAGCTGATGAAGAATGCTCTTGTTATGGAATGAGGAGAAACAGTTAAAGGCCACTTTTATCAAAAACAGGACCGAACAGAATGAAAACTACACAACATGAGGGCCTAAGGAGGTGGAAGATAATATCATTCTGACCTCATTCCTGAGGTCTAAGTACTTTTCCATTTTAGCATTTCTAAAAAAATCACTTGCATTTTAATAACAATAACTAGTTTCATTCAAAGAAGCTTTCTAAATGCAGGTGTTTCACTAATTCACTGTTACCGTCGTTAAATACTTTTTCAAACATTCAAATTTCAATTCTAAGATGTGTGTGGTTTCCTCCTACTCTGGAACACTTCTAAGGTTATGTAACCTGTAATGGTATTGATAGGATGTTATTCCATACAAGTTATTCCATCTGACAGAATCATTTCTGTGTGATGCAGGTTGTTGAGGGTTAATTACAGAGTCATGCATTTCACCCCTCTGCTCTTTGCCTTAAAACTGTAGAGAATAAATTAGTGAGTTTTAATGTTTTTCCTCGTCTGGGTTGTTTTTGAGTGTTAGGGAACATTTTTTTTTGCTGTACTTAATCATGTTGTAAGGTTCACACAGAGTTTTCAGTGTGCAAAGCAGACACCCAGCACTCCCCTATCCTCTCCTCCAAGCACTTAGACACATCTCCATTACATCTCAGACAACGCCAGACCTCAACAACTCCCCAGTGTCTGAGACATAAACCATGCTCGGGCACTCTCCAACTTCAAATGCAGACCTACTTCACAACATGGTGCTTCCACAATAATTACGGTCAGACCCCAGATAGATTTACAGCTGCAGTTTGTGCACTCATCACCGGACTCCTCTTCCAAGAAATGACTGGAAGAGATCCTTGGATCAATTAGCGTCTGGAAACCCAATGAGCCCCTCAGTCATTTGTATTTCTTAAGCTATCTCAGCCACCAAGAAAAAGCTGCTTGAGCACAGAGGAACAAATTCCCAACCAGAATAACAGTGCTCCAATTCTTGTAACAGAATTCTTGTAACAAAGTGGAATAAGCTTAAGGCAGGCTTACTTACCGTCACTGGCACAATATTATTATTGGCTGTAACCTCTCGCTAGCTGATCAGCTTGTTGGTTGGCACGCCATGCATTTCATCACTTTGCTGTTTGTCTTAAAAACTGTAGCTGATTAATTCGTTTTCAATTTTCATTGATCAAAATTCCATCAATGAGTGAAATAACTCTCTTGCTGCCATGGTATTGTAGAAAGACCCTTTGTGAGTACTGAACTTGTGTTGCACTTGTCCGTATCAAAAATGGCTTCCTCCTTGCTGCCCTCTGTGTCACCTGGGACACTGGCACTGTGGGCACGCTTGGCAACTGTCTCCCCATTGTGACTCTATATCTGTTACTCTGTTACCCTTGACTGTTGCACTAGAAAACGCCCTGTTTTTTTGAATGACTAGTCAAAGAAATAAGAAAGGACAGGCAGTCAGTCACCCAAGGGAAATGCAACAAAGTAAAGAAAAATGAGTGATCTGTGGAAACTATGGTAAAGTACACCTAAAACGAAAGAACAGGGGGCATGACTGTGCACAGAGGGCTATGAGAGTATTGGAAGAAGCTGCTCAGCTACAGTATGTTGTTGAAGTCAATACCCTGGTGCTTTTCAAGAAATGGCAAGATGAGATCCTGGGTTCAATAATTACTAACTTGTAATCAAACAAGGTAGATGAACTGAACGGCCTCCTAATACCCTTGCTTACGGAGATTGACATCAAGATGTGCTGGGTATTAGACATATGAACACCTGTTTATCAATGTTTTGGTTAAATAGACATTTTTATGTCATTGCTGTTTATAGAGTGAAAAAAAGGCAACAGACCAAGTGCATAAACCAACTGATATGAAACAAACCTCACAGTCCATTGCACACCTGAGTTATTTGAATGTGGAGCACACCCCTGACAGCTCAATGTTGCTTAGGCACATTCATAAGAAGCGTGCAGGAGTGAGAATGTGATACTGTATGCGCTGTGGATGAGGACTGATGATTGATCCAGTATCTGAGAATGATCCAGTAGGAGTGTCTGAGAATTCATAAGTCTGAATGGCTGAATGTTAGCCTTATATAATTTTACTGTTACTGTATATTGTAACAAGAAAAGCTTGCAGACAGTACAGTGGGGTTTTATTTCCTCTAGGGCTGGAGAGTGCATTATGTCTGAAAAGATGACACCCAGAAATGAAAAGCAGAAAATATAGAAAAACTATTGCAGACATTAGAATGTCTAGTTACTGGACTTTATTTATGTTTTGCATGAGTAAATGTTTTACCATTCTGAATTTTACATTTGGATGAACCAGCTGGAAGTCTTGAGAATCAGAGTAGCTACAGTAGCAGTGCAGACATTAAATGACAACTATGATAAATGCATCTTTTGAAAATGCAATGCAATTGCATGCCTCATCAATGTTTAAGAAATACAAATTTAACAGAAACTTGCAAATATTCTAATGATTAGGCACCCTGTACCTCCATACAACAAGTCTAAGGGACTCTACTCAGTTCTACTCAGCAGTTTGGCACTTACTGATGCTGTACAGTATGTTAATACATAAGGACATTTTATTTGTTTGTTTCAAGTTGTACCAAGACACTGCAAATAAAAAATACAAAGGGCAGGATCTGAATTCAGAGGTGAACTGAATGAAATATTTTACAGCATTTGTGCACTTTAGCATATCCTTAAATACTATGGCTATTATTTAATATTATGCCAATGCACAACATTGCCATTTGGCAATGAATTGGCCTTCCTTAAAAATAAATTGCGTAGTAAAATCAGGTGGTAATAGTGTACACTGGATCTGGCTATCACAGTAATCAGTTTCAGTTTTCTCCCCTGTTATGGGATCACGAACTACAAAAATGCATTAAATGAATGATGCTTGTATAATATTGTTACAAGCTATGGTACAGTAAGTGACTACAGTATGGAAGTGTTTCTAAGAGTCTAGATACAATGAGTAACACCAACTTGTGTCAATATTTCCACTTCCTAGAGCTTCAGACCAGTTGTGCTGGGTATAAGGCACACTGATCAAAAGAATCGTATGGTTTGCCTCAGTTGTACTAAATTCTGGGTAAATGATTAAGAATGTAAAAGGTGTATATTAAAAAGACAGAGGAGAAGACAGGGCAGCACAGAACATAAAGCGTGTTTCAGACGACAGATCTTTGTCCAGATTATCCATAAAGAGCAAATTGGAGCTAGGTATTGTAACCTTGCTAAGAGAGCTTGCTGTTCTGTGTTTTAAGGGAACTCTGATTTT